ATTCAAAGGCTCAAGGCTCACACAACAGAGACTTCAGCACATAATACAGGCTAGCTGGCAATTTAGTGCAGTACCACAGGAGTACTGGACCTCTCAAGGTACAGTCTTTTGGATGATACATAAAACAAAGTTCTCAAGCCTTCCAAGGAATGTATAAGATCTTATGGCACCACTTTAAATGGAGAGGAGGACAATTCTCAACATCACTAAAAATAGATTTTGGCACATTGTATTGATTCTTCAGGAAGACGACTGTAACATTTTTGCATTGCAATAGCAACTATAATCCAATAGCTGTGAAGTGCTACAGAAATCCAAAGGTTGAGAAAAGCAATACAGAGACGCAAAGCTCTCTTTCATTTTTGGGTAAAAAGCAAGCGTGCAGATTACATTACACGTGCACGTGATACATGTAAAAACCGGCATCTACGCTTGGCTAATGATTGAGCACTGGCTGTGCTCAGTCTACCATGCAGATTAAACCTGAGATCTTCCCTATAATGTGTTCTCAAATCTGAGGAACAGTAGTGTTACAGTCTCTGGGCTAGATATATAATATACATTAGGAGCAAGGGCTGAGAAGTAGAAAAGGAGAAAGATGATGTCAAATTAAAATGTGCACTGTTCTCCCACAGTATTCAGACAACTTACCATTTATTGGCATTTTTGTGAAGTGGTACATTGGGCTTATATTTTCTGTAATGAACGTTTCTGACCATATAGTCCACAGATTCCAACAGATCTATAATACTGAGATACTGAAAACATAAGCAGTTGTCAGTTCACACATAGCTACTTCAAATTTTCTCTCACACAGTTGATCAGTGATGCAAATTTATATCATAATGTTTTAGTAAAGGCACAATTTGACATTCAGATTGCCCTATAAAAAAGTCAGTTGGCTAGAAAGTTCTGGAGTTGAAAAGCAGAGAATAGAAAATGATCAAATTAGTTATGTTAATTCACGATCAAGATCTTAGCACCTTTCTTAAAGTGTGGAGGCCAGTATTGGCCACAATCCTCAAGGTGGGGCCAAACTAACAATTCTCGACTGGGTCATTAGTTCATTCTCACACAAATCCTAAAAGCCAAACTAAGCAGAAGAACAGTAGAACTTCTGCCAATTACCTTCGCAGTCAGCGTGGTGTAGAAGAATTAAAACTGAAGAAATACTTTAAACAGTAACTTGCAGTAATGAGAATGCAGGAAATCAAACATCAATGCTTTATTTCATCCTCCAACTTAAAAGTAACAAGCAAGCAGAGCGAGAAGACGTGATTCAGATTTTTAAGTCTATTAAATACATAGATCAATTACCGTTTTGTTCAGGATAGTGGAGCAGGGTAAAGCTAGAGGTTGCATCTTAATGCCATGGCTTACCTACCACTAGACTTAGCAATTCCAATCACTCATGGACAGCCTCTCTGTCTATTTTGTGTAAAAGTAGGGTCATACACAACTGTTGCCTTACTCGCATGCACTCATCATCTCAGTGATCACTGCGCTAATACTTTGTTCTTTCAAAGCAACACCGTGATTTTAGCATTTTCATCCCAAATTTCAAATCTCTCTGTAGCCTCAGCCTTGCCCATCTCTACAGTCACCACCAGCTCCTTAACCATGCATTCATCTAATTGTGCATCAAGCAACTTTAACTTTAATTGCTCCATCACTGATGGTTTTATTTTCAACTGCCTGAGCTTGAGATCGGCAACACCATTCCTGATCCCCACTGCCAATCTTTCCTCTTTCATGACACTCCTTACAAACCAACCCTTCAACCATCTACCCTAATAGTGCTTTAGTGTCATATTTTGTTTCACAGAACCTTTGTGAAATGCTCAGATATTTCATTGTATTTATATAACACCTTTTAATGTAAATTGTTTGTTAAGTAGTAAATAAAGATGTGAGCAAGAGGGACAACGAGATTGAATGTTTTTACTTTCTCCAGGAGTTAACTTCAGGAATGGAATTTCAGAGGAAGCAATGACTGGTTGCTGACTGTCTGTCAAGATAGAACTAGGAAGAGAACAATCGGAGCAGCTGCAAAGCCAAGACAACCCACTCGGCAAAACAAGTGTGAACACTTCTGGAACTCTGCCAAATTCCCAGGAAATTATTTCTGACAACAATTCTGGAAGGCTTTTTTTGAGCTTATGGAACAATGGCAGGGGTGGGGAGAAAAGGTATCGGAACTAGTACATCGGGACAGAGGCAAGCATATTTAGACCCGACACCTTTTCTGATATCATCACCATGGTAACAGATGCATTTATTTTACAGGAGTCCCAGCAGTATCACAGAGTTAAATGACATATTACATTGCATAACCATATCATTGAAGCAGCACTGTATGATTATATTACAGCATTGCTATCACAGTCCTTCATGCCTGGTTGCACGTAAAATGAAGATTTCTGTACATCCAATCTCTCAATTTATTTCTCAAATTTTCAGCATCTGCCATCTTGCTTTTCAACTTTGCATATATATTTTGGTGCTGGAAACGTGAAACAACAGCAAAGCTATTGAACGTAATCTCACCTGAGGTTTTGTCATTTCTATGTCAATGCTCTGTACTTCCACATCCAGATTTATTTTGGGTGAATTCAATTCAGTTTCAGCAGAAGGATTGATGCAAAGTTTTGCAGATGCCGATATAGGCTTAAAAACTTTAACACAAAACACAACACTCAGCACTATTACAATGGCTTAAGCTTAAAACAATGCATCTAAGTAGCACGAACTGACTTTGACTTAAAACCAATTTCTTCATTCAGTGTTTCGGCTCTCAATTTTAGAAGTCCGACTTTGGCAGATTCAATTGTATAATAAAGTCTCTTTTTCCTACAGTGTATTTGATATTACTGTGTACCACTGTACTGGTCATGTGAAATAAATGAAGAAATTCAAATGTACATTCAGACAGTCTAATCTAAATGTTTTTTCTGGTTCTTTTCTTCAAATTGTAATTGAGGCCAAAAATGACGACCAAGTATAAGGGCCAGTCTAAGCATTTGTTTATACTGGTTCTGCTAGAGCTCTGCACCGTGTTTGTAAATACCACTTCAACGGGTATTGCAAACAAGAATAATAAAAATTTCACAATTGAACAAAAAGTGCTCCAGTAGACTACTCTTCCAGATACAGGGAAAAAAAAAATCACAACAACCCTATTATCTGCTTTAAGGAGAACAATCACAGCTTCTCTAGTCTCTCCACATTAATACCTCTCATCCTTGGGACCATTTCATTAAATCTGCTCTGCACACTGACTTGACATTTAGCCTTAAGTGTGGTGCCCAGAATTGGACAGAATACTTCAGTTAGGACTCAAGTAGTGATTCATAAAAGTTTAGTATAATTCCTTGCCTTTGTACTGTATACTGACATTTGTTAAACCCCCATGGGTCCTTTATGTAGAATTTACCCAGCACATACAATCCAGATCTCTTTACTCCAATGCAGTGCTGTACCATTTGGTTTATACTGCCTCTCCCCAGTCAACTGTATTCCTTTTAAAGAAACAGAGGTTCTTTTGGAAGCACCTTTCAAACCTATGACCTCTAGCACCTAGAGGACAGAAGCAGCAGTTCCACGGCTACACCAGCATCTGTAAGCTCTCCTCCACGCCCCACACCATCCCGACTTGGAAAGGTATTCATTCCTGCCAGGTGTATCCCATTTTAGCAATGTGTGTCTCCAGCTGAAATCTATCTTCTTCACGGTTTCCTAAATTCCCAAGTTCCATATAACCTGCAAAGTTTGCAACAATGCCCTATATCCCCCAAATCAGATCATTATTATTTATCTATATGCATCAAATTCAATGGTGCACACACTGACTCCTAGAACAAGGACTATTTGACCAGGGATCTTCCAGAACACACACTCCTCAGCTTCCATCCCCTTTTCCAATGTATTCCACATGGAATCAACTGAAATTTAACCCCACCATGTTTCAGACCCACGCACAATTTTGTAATGCCAAGATATTCAGTATTCCTCAAAATACATTCCTACAACACCAATGTCATCAGCAAGGACAGCACCCACAATCTACTAGATTTACGTCTCACGACCCACATTGTCTTCAACGGTCATGTATACAAACAAATCAATGGAACACCCACAGGATCACACATATCAGGACTTATAGCTGAAGCAATAATGCAAAGACTAGAATGGACAAGCCTTGCCCCTATCCAGCCAAAGCTATGGGTCCACTATGTGGACGACACATTTGTCATTACCACGCGCACAAAACTGGAGGAAACTCACCAACTCATCAACAACATCCCCACCAAGATAAAATTCACCAGGGAAGAGAAGAACACCAACCGACTCCCATTCCTGATGTAATGGTTGAACAAAAGGGCCAACGGTGAGCTCCAGACCAGCGTACACAGGAAGGTCAGCCACACGGACCAAATAATTAACTACAACAGCAACCACCCCAACACCCACAAACGGAGCTGCATCAGAACACTGTTCAGAAGTGCCATAACACATTGCAACACGCCGGAACTGCGCAAAGCCAAAGAACAAGACTTCCACAGCGTCTTTAAAAACAACTGCTACCCAAAAAGCGTAGTCCATCAGTGCTTATTCAATAGGAAACAACAGGAAGACACAGCATGCTGAAATACACTAGTCACCCTGCCATATATCAAGAACAATCAGAGATGACCACCAGAGTACTCCACCACTAGGAATCGCGGTAGCACACAAACCCACAGCTACACCACGACACCTACTGACAAGAACAAAGGATCCCATACCCACAAGTAACAGGACCAACGTTATATATAAAATCCCATGTAAGGACTGCCACAAAACACTACATTGGACAGAGCATGAGAAAACTAGCTATCAGGCTACATGAGCACAAACTAACCACCAAGAAACACGACCAACAATCACTCATTTCCATACACTGGGACAAAGGCAGCCACCAACAACTAAGACAATGTAACCATCCGAGGACAAGCCAACCAAAGACACACATGGGAATTCCTAGAGGCCTGATACCCAACCTGAAACTCCATCAACGAACCTGTGAAAATAGACCTCATACACCAACCACTACAAAGCAGAACCAGAAATGAAGCCAACCACCACATCAAACAGACCACAAAAATAACAAGCAGGACAGACCAACAATGCTTCATCGGAGGTGCACTGATAATGTTAACCAGTATGGTGACAAAATGTCTGCAAACCAACCAACCAGCTCAATGAACAAGTCAACAACCCCACTCCTCAAACTGCTGCATCCACCACATCCAGCCACCTACACCATGTGCTCTTGACCTCTCTCATCCAGCTCAAAACTGTCCTGGTCCTCAGTACTGTTTCATTCTTGGTCTCATCCTATGATTTAGGGATGATTTTTCTTCTTTTCAGGTCTGATGAACTACAAGCTTTAATAATTCTTAGATGCCAACGCCCTTCAGACTATTCATTTCCTCTACTCTTCTCTATTCCCATCCCTTCAGTCAATCTCAAACTTTACCATTATTCATGATACTCTCTGCATTTTCCTTCTCTAAACATGAACAATATGCCTTTAGCAAAGGCCTTAGCTTCATTGCCTCATGGATTCCTCAATGAATTTCAGCATGATAATGGGCACTTATGTCTTCATCTTTCCTTCTGCGACCACTCCTCTGGCCTGAATTCTATCCCAGCTTCATGAACTCTTTCACATGTCTTCAGTACTCTTCCTCCACCTGAACACCATCCTCTTGACCTTTATCCTTCCTAAATCCTTCCACTGTTTTTGCTGACAATAAAATGATAAGTACAAAAGCAAGTTCAGAGGGTACAGGAAGTCTGCAAAGGCATATAGATAGTGCAAGTGACTGAACAAAAATTTGTGCGATGGAGTACAGTGCTGGGCAAATGGGCAATTATCCATTTTGGCAGATGAAATAGAAACACACTTATTTAAATGAAGAGGTGGTAGGGTGCTGTGATATTCAGGTACTTAGGTGTCCTTAAGTATGAAACACAAAAAGTTAGTATGCTAGAAAGGCAATGCTAAATTGGTCCTTTTTGCAAGAAAGATAGATTAACACGTTAGGGAAGTCAAAACACAACTGTACAGAGCACTGGCAAGATTGAGCCTTAAGTACTGTACATGGTTATGGTTTCCTGACTTAAGAAGGGATATACTTGCATTGGAAGCAATCCAAAGGAGGAAGGTTCACTCCACTGCTTAATGAAGCTGAGTGGGTTTTCTTAGGAAAATAAAAGTTGAACAAGTTGAAATTTAGATATTCTTTGAGATGTTAGACAATATTGTAAGAAGGCTTGACAGTGTGCTTCCCCTTCAGCATACAAACCCAATTTTCAAGAAGGTAACTCAGGTCACCATTACCTTCTCAGAGGAATTCTGAATGGGCAAATATGTGCTGACATTTTCAGAAACAGCTACACCCCAAGAATGAAGTCTGAAGAAAGAATTGACTGGAATTACACATTTCCATTGTATACAAAACAAATTAAACAAGAACCCTTGCAAAAAGAGAAAAGCCACTGTCTCAACAGTAATAAATTTTTATGTTTTTGAAAACATTTCTACAAATACTAAAGTTAGAACAGGCAGCAGTAACTATTACAATCATAACACTTACTGTAGTCATGATTTTTGGGTTCATCAGCACTTGAAGCTATCCCTTCTTTTAGCTGCAACTATCAGACAAAATCAGGATGACAGAGATGAAGCAGTTAGTGAAACAAAAATTACTTAAAACAACACTGCACAATGTGATCAATACATTTTCCTGAATATTTGTGAAATGGATGTTTACTCAAGGAGTGAGATACTATATTTAAATGTCACACGGTCATAAAACATTGCTAACAGTATGGCAAAATGCTTCAAGAAGAGTGGAACATTTTTTACAAGTTTACCAGTACTACTTAAATACATTGCATCGAGATTCTCTCAAACCCCATGTATGCATTAACCTATGACCTAAAAGACGCCAAGTCTGAGGGAAGTCCTTTTACTATAAGCAAGTTATCCATTTCACCTGGACAATATTCATCTGCTTCTTTTAAATACAGGGGAGATGGTGGCACAGTGATGAGCCACTGGACTAGTAATCGAGAGGCTCAGGTGTGGGGACTTGTTCAAATCTCACCACAACAGCTGGTGTAATTTAAATGCAAATACTAAAATCTAGAATTGAAAGGTAGTCAGCTAATAACATTACGATTGCTATAAAAACCCATCTGGTTCACTGATGTCCTTTAGGGAAGGAAATCTTACCAGGTCTGGCCTACATGTGATACAGACCCACACATGTGGTTGACTCTACACGGCTCTCAAAAGCCATTTAGTTCAAAGGCAATTAAGGATGAAGCCTGTGCCAATAACTGAAGCCTTTGCCAACAAGTAAAGAAAAGAAAAAATGCACCAAACTCCCTTCCTACAACCAATGAAAAGGAGTTATATTCTCTCCCATCCCTTTAAAATTAGCCAATTATCAGTCTAGACTTATCACAGGCACATGTGCCATTTACAAACTATATACAATGATTTGGAGCTGGAGACAGAAATACACCTAAATTTAAAAACCACGAAATCCAGGAGATCACTCCACTGATATACATCAGGCAAACCAAATACAATGGAATCGTAATAAGATTTATATAAATGATGAGGATGAGAATATAGGAAGCACGGTTATTAAGCTAGCAGAGGACACCAAAATTGGTGGGACAGTGGACAGTGAAAGTGGTTAAGTGTGCAAAGGGATCTTGATCAACTGGGCCAGTGGGCCTAGGAATAGTAAATGGAATTCAATTTACTAAGTGCGCGGTGTTGCATTTTGGAAACACAAACTAGGGCAGGGCTTAAGCAATTATTGGCAGCGCCTTGGGGTGTGTTGTCAAACAGAGAGATCCAGGGGCTCAGGTGTCACAGGTAGATAGGGTGGTGAAAGCATCATTTGGCACGCATGTCTTCATCAGTCAGAGCAATGAGTACAGGAGTTAGGACATCACATTACAAAACATTGGTAAGCCACCATTTGGAGTACTGTGTACAGTTCCAGTCAGCCTATGACAGGAAGGGTGTCATTAAACTGGAAACAGTGCAAAAATGATTTACAAGGATGTTACGGAGACTGGAGGTTTGAGTTATAAGGAAAGGCTGGGTAGGCTGGAACGTTTTCCCCCTGGAGCATAGGAGGCTGAGGGGCGACCTTATCGGTGTTTATACAATCATGAGGATAAAGTGGATAAAGTAGCTATCATGTGGATAAAAGTGAATAGCCAAGGTCTTTTCCCCCAAAATAGGGGAGTCCAAAACTAGAGGGCATAGGTTTAAGGTGAGGGGAGAAAGATTTAAAAAAGGGACCTGGAAGGCAACTTTTCCTCACAAGGGTGGTGTGTATATGGAACGAGCAGCCAGAGGAAATGGCAGAGGTGACTAAGTTACAATTAACATTTGAGACACATTTGGACAGGTACATGGATAGGAAACATTTAGAGGGATATTGGCCAAACACCGGCAAATGGTCAGCATGTACGAGTTGGGACGAAGGGTCTGTACCCGTGCTGTTGACTAAATGACTCTATGACAAGGTGGGTTGAAGTATCAATACACAGTTCATGTGGATTAACTAATAAAACAATGTAGCAAGAGAAAGACAAAAGAGAAAGATTGGTTTTACGATTGTGGTGCAGGACAACAGAAAAGGAAGATTGAAGGGTATCACTGTTTACTGAAGCGAATAGCGCAGCATGCAACTCAAACAAGGAAAGCGAACTAACTCGGAGGAAGCATCGGGGAAAGATGCAGCATAAATTCCAGATGTGATCTTATACTCATGCTTTGCACAGACAGACAATCAGATCTGGAACACTGGATACATTTCTGGTCACTATAACCCCAAATCACTGGCAGTAACATGAAAAGAGACAGCCAAACTGATACCTTACTGAACACATCTGAGCTAAGAGAAGTTGAAGAATTGCCATCTCTGAAGGCAACTCAGATGATTTTTCAACAAATATTTCTCTGGCTTTCATCTGAGGAATGGCAGCAACATGTTTTGCGGGTCAAAGAAAGGAAATGAAGGAAAACACAATCTCATATAGAACTGTGCCCATGACAATTCACAAGTGTAATTATTATAAACATTCATTTCTACCAAATCAGTGACGCAAATACGTACCAAGATTTGCTCCCTCGTGTTACCGCAAAACAGTAAGCTGTTCACGTTCCAATAGCCACAAAGGCAATCTAAGCGGACAAGCTGAAGAACAAACAGATGCTTTTACTCCCAAAGTAAATCAGTTTTGAATTTAAGATCACAGAAAAAGAATCAAGGATTATGTCACCATAGTTGCAAGCATTCGATATTTTGTAACCACGACACACAAGCGACCTTACATCCCAATTTAACTACATAAACAATTTTGGTGGAACAAGGTTTGCAGCATTACTCCAGAACACACTGTAAACATCTCTTCAACCCCACCAGGCCCATTCCCAAAGGCAGTGATCCTAACTACTGTCATGTTCAAGAGGAAGCTGCTATTTGGACCATTTGTCTGTGCTATTGTAACATTTGAGCAGAACCTATCTCCTTCAATTAAAGAAAAACACAATAGTACAGACCTTCAAAATCTGACTAAACAAAAATCAGAGATAGTAGGAACTGCAGATGCTGGAGAATCTGAGATAACAAGGTGTAGAGCTGGACGAACACAGCAGGCCAAGCAGCATCAGAGGAGCAGGAAGGCCGACATTTCCGGCCCAGGCCCTTTCTTCAGAAAAAGGGTTTTCTGAAGAAGGGTCTAGGCCTGAAACGTCAGCTTTCCTGCTCCTTTAAACAAAAATCAGGTCAGGTTTTTGTGGAGTTCTCATGAAAGATTGCTCAGTTAAAGCATTAATTCTGTTCCTTTTTGCTTGGTCTTCTGTTTCAGTCTTATTTTTCCTGCATTTTCCTCATTTCATCTTTAAGTAGATACCCAATTCAATTCAAAAATGTGGTCAGTTTCTATTTGGCAACCATTTATAGAAAAACGTTGTTCTAATTACCCTGTCATAGCAAAAGGTTCTAACTTTTCCTTCATTTCTCCGGTGATAATTTTAAACCTGTCCTCCATTTGTTCACAACTCACCAGCTAATGGAAACAATCTTTCATTATTACTATTCTAAATCTTTTCATTGCTGTGTTTTCAGCATACAGCACCTTCATTAACCTTCTGCATTTTGAGAGATAAATGACAATGCTGAGAGCCTTTATTCGCACTGATATCCTCTTATCTCCAAATCATTTTTCCCGACTTAGGCCACAGGACCATTAGCAGGATAAGGCCAATCAAGTCTTTGCCACAATTCAATCTTGGCTGAAATCACAGAATCCCTACAGTGTGGAAACAGGCCCTTCAGCCCAACAAGTCCACACTGACCCTCAGATCATCCCACCCAGACCCATCCCCCTATAACCCACCTAATCTACACATCCCCGAACACTACGGGCAATTTAGCATGGCCAATCCACCCTAACCCGCACATCTTTGGACCGTGTGAGGAAACCGAAATGTTTCTCAACCCCTTCACCTGCCTTGATCCCCTCACTCAAAGAACGTATCTACCTCGGGCTTGAACACACTCCGTGACTTAGCCTTCTGTAAAGAAAAATCACCACCTTCTGGCTGAAGAAATTCCTCCTCATCTTGGTTCTAAAGAGTTGCTCCTTTACTCTGAAGCTGTGCTATCAGGTCCTAGTCTCTTACTAGTGAAAACATCTTCCCCAATTCCACTGTCTGGGTTTGCAGAATTCTGAAATTTGCCATCAGCCACGTCTTCTTCCCCCACCCCTCCTCACCCCCACCCAACCACCCACCCATCCTTCTAAACTCCATTGAGTACAGACCCAGAGTCCTCAACCACCCCTCTTATAATATGCCTTTCATCTCCCGGAGCATTTTTGTAAATATCCTCTGGTCCCCCCTCTAAGACCAGCACATTCTTCCTCAGATTCAGGGGTGTACTACTCACACTATTCCAAACGTTCTCTGACCACAGCCTTATACAGTCTCAGAAGTTCATTCCTGCTCTTGTATTCTAGCCCTCTTGAAATGATAGCTAATTAGTTGCCTTCCTAACTACCAACTGAAACTGCATGTTAACCTGAAGAGAATCCTGAAATACAATTCCCAAGTTCCTTTGCACTTCAGATTTCCAAAACTTTTCTCCATTTAGAAATAGTCTACACCTCTTTTCTTCCTACCAAAGTGCATAACCTCACACTTTCCCACACCGTATTCCATCTGCCACCTCTTTGCCCACTGTCCTAGCCACCTCCCCCGCTTCCTCAACACCATCTGTCCCTCCACCTATCTTTCTTTCATCTGTAAACTTAGCAACAATACCCTCAGTTCCTGCATCCAGATTGTTAATGTATAACGTGATTAGTTGTGGTCCCAACACTCACCCCTGCCTTCTACCAGACAGCCAGTCCTCTATCCATGCTAGAGATAACAAGGTGTAGAGCTGGATGAACACAGCAGGCCAAGCAGCATCAGAGGAGCAGGAAAGCTGACGTTTTGGGCCTAGACCCTTCTTCAGAAACAGGGGAGGTGAAGGGGATTCTGAAATAAATAGGGAGAGAGGGGGAGGCGGATAGAGGAGAAGATAGGTGGAGAGGAGACAGACAGGTCAAAGAGGCGGGATTGGAGGCAGTAAAGGTGAGTGTAGGTGGGGAGTTAGGAAGGGGATAGGTCACTCCAGGGAGGACGGACAGGTCAAGGGGGCGGGATGAGGCTAGTAGGTAGGGCTTGAGGTGGGAGGAAGGACAGGTCAGGGAGGCGGGGACAAGCTGGGCTGGTTTTGCGATGCGGTGTTGGGGGGAGCAGATTTTGAAGCTTGAAGTCCACATTGATACCATTGGGCTGCAGGGTTCCCAAGCTGAATAGGAGGTGCTGTTCCTGCAACATTTGGGTGGCATCGCTGTGGCAATGCAGGAGGCCCAGGATGGACACGTCGTCTGAGGAATGGGAGGGGGAGTTGAAATGGTTCGCGACTGGGAGGTGCAGTTTTTAAGTGCGAACCGAGCGTAGGTGTTTTGTAAAGCGGTCCCCAAACCTCCGCTTGGTTTCCCCGATGTAGAGGAGACCACATTAGGAACAGCAGATACAGTATACCACATTAGCAGAAGTGCAGGTGAACATCTGGTTGATGTGGAAAGTCTTCTTGGGATCTGGGATGGGGGTGAGGGGGGAGGTGTGGGGGCAGGTGTAGCACTTCCTGCGGTTGCAGGGAAAAGTGCCGGGTGTGGTGGGGCTGGAGGGGAGTGTGGAACAGACAAGGGAATCACGGAGAGACTGGTCCCTCCGGAAAGCAGATAAAGGGTGGGGAGG